GTACCATTGACTTTTTCAGAGGGCAGATTATACATACACACAAACTGTCGTTCTGATAGATAGAATCTATATCAGTCACGAATGCAGGTGGGTGATCTGTGACAAAACATTTGAAGCATTTCATATTTCAATGTCGAGTTTATTGATATAGCACATTTAAAACAATCACGGTTGACCAAAGTGCTGAACAGGATATCAAAAGCATAAAATAAACAAATCCAAAAATGTGTAGCAAATAAAAAAGAAAGAAAAGAAACAAACAGCAGCCCAGTTAAAGAGATCGGAAATCAAGCTCAGAGGGGATTAAAAGCCAAAGTAAAAAGGTGTATTTAGCAGTGACTTAAAGTTGTGGAGGGTCGGCACAGCTCAATTGTGAATAGGTAAACGGTTCCAGAGGATGGGGGCAACCACCACATACACTATGTCACCTCTATTTTTGTGCCTGTATCTAGGGACATCCAAGAGCATCTGGTCAGTCGATCTCAGAGCTCTATTTGGGTTATATGGTGTAGGAATTCAGCCAAATAAGTGGGTGCCAACCCATTTAAAACCTTGAAAGCAAGCAATAAAATATTGAAAACAATCCTGAAGCGGTCAGGAAGCCAGTGGAGAGATTCTGCACGATGGCAGCTGAAGGAGGACACAGGTGTAGCGCTTTGCTAAAACATACTTCCTTTAAATCCGATATTAACATATGCAAAACAAGAAACCGCCACGCAGCACCACAAACCAACTGGCAGCACCAGAAATCCACAAGCCCTGCTCCATAACGGTGAACTTAAATAGGGCTCCCAATTAGAGACAATGCAGCTGCATCTAATTTGGAACCACCAAAACATTGATAACACCTGACAAACCCATATTCCGAACTTTTTTTCATATTCCGAGCCTTACATAGTTCAAATAACCTTGATGTGAGCCAGCTTGTAACAGAACTTGTCATTCTCTGCAAATATTCAGGCAGTGACATGCTCTAAAATATTTGTAGCATATTAGCTGACTTCACACAGTAAACAATGTTGGTCTACTTACGGTTCTTACTGTATGTCATCCAATGTCTTGATTGCTTCATGGGGAGCCCGTGCTGATGGCCCGTACTGATGGTCAGGGCTTCAAAAAGTGCTTGCCCGGCCTCATCTGCTGCCTCCTATTGGACAGGAAGGCTGTGATCCAATTGCAAGGGAACTCTGGCACTCCCATGTGGGAGAGCTTGTCCTGGAGCAAAGCTGTAATGATGGTGTTTAATGCAGAAATGAATTCCACAAACAGGATTATGGCTGATTCCAGGGATGTAGTGGAGAGCCAGGTTGATAGGCAGCAAATTGCACCCAGAAGAACGTGTTCTGATGACGATAGCGCCCATTCTTAGAAGATTTCCATTCTCCTTCAAACAAGAATCTTGAGTTGTGCCCCGTGACCCAGGACAGGTGTTATAGCTGCTACCTCCTAGTTCACAAAAGGTGTAGAACATTGCATCATGTTCTTGAATTAAGCTCCAGGAGTTTCTCTGAAATGAGGAGAAGGAATTGGTGATTGGTGAGTTGTGTTTGACACAAGGTGTTAGGGGAGAGCACTTCCGGTGTATTGTCTTGATTAGGAGCACAGCTGTTTTCCGGTTAAGCTAAGCACCGGGCATATGTTAGTTTAATCAGTGGGTTAGTAAGGTTCCCTGTTTAGTGTTACATGTGCTTGGTATTGTTATACGTTACGTTCCATGTAAGTGAGTGTCTATATTGAAAGTCGTTCACTGTTTTAGCAGTTGTATTAATTTGCTTTGTGTAGCCGCACGTTTCTTTACTTTACAGTGTGTACGTTTCCATTTGTGCTACGTGTTACTTTCACATTTGTGTAAAGAGAATAAATACCACGAATGGATTCATGCTCTGCCCCTGGTTCTCCTTCGAGAGGACTATGTGACAACATGACTGTTGCAATAGCAGCTTGACGTATGGTAATCAATGCAACGCCTATGGCAAATCCCCTCTCAATGTTGGGAATTGGCGAAAACCTTAAATTCGCTATTTGCCTTGATCTAGTGATTTTAAGGGTTTGGTTCCCTGCAGCATTTGTACACCTTGCAACCACTTGGCGCTTGTCTGACCTCAGATCCCGAACTCTCCTCTGTGATTTGCCTACCACCCATGACCACTGAGTTGCCCTTAGTGTTTTGTGTTGTGGAATCACTACATTGCTAGACTCAACGCTAGCGAAAGACAACAAGTGTGAGACAAGAGTATTTCTTGCAAAACTGATTGTTTACACAGCGTACCCTGCTGAGAAGTTGTCAGTGTGATCGTGATAATCACTAATCCAGAGGATGCTAAATGTTCTCATGTCTGAGTGCAAATCATGTGCCTATATGTGCTCAACCTTATGGATTCTTTTCTACTAAACTACTCAGCCACTAATCACAGCTCTAGTCAAAGAGAAGCATGCCCATGTTTTATCCAATAACACTTTTATTACGTTTTTCCATCTTTGTGTCTAAAATGGCACTGCACCAATATTCAACTTTTACTCTTACAGTCATGTCTATGTCCTGTGGTACTTGCCTTTGAGCAATTTCCCTTTTCCGATTTTGTCGGCTTGTTTTCTCAATGTTACAGCTCACAGGCTAGTGCAGATTTTCACATCAGCTTTGGAAGGAGCTTGATGCACCAAGCAGGAGACCAGAGATAATCAAGCATAGATCTTTATGTCACCAGAATAAGACCCCCAAAATAGGACACATTTATAACCAAGCACATTCACCATCTTGTGAAGTTCATCATCTCTGTGATGCTTTTGTTTACAAAGGATTTGGTTTTCTAATGTACCACCAAACAATTATCCAAGCCCATTTCACACACCCCATCATCAAACCTAAAATCTGGTTTCTACATTTGTTACTTAATAATGATTCCAACATGATGCCAAGCTGCATATTCAAAACATGCTTTATTCTTACCATGTATTACAAGAAGAAAAATATTGCATTAATTTAGGTTATACGTTGCATCTAACTGTTGTTTGGTAATACTATAAAGCAACCAGCAGAGTGTAGTGGAGGCTGTAGTATTGGCTGAGTAATTTTCACACAATTAACTGTTTTACTTTCCTAATGCTGTTGCTGAAGAATTATAATGCTTATTTTCTCACCCCTTACATATAACACAGTCACACAAACATCCACATAAACAGGTATGTTGACGGTATCAATATCGGTAAAAAAAATTCTACTTGGGCCACACAAAAATTGTAACTGTTTTGCCATAATTGGAAAATATTTATCTAACAGTTTTGATAGGCAAAATTAAATGTTCTTAGATAAATATGAAAAATGGTAGAAACAGCTGATTTAAAATCCGATTTGAACGAGGTCTGAGTAGAGTACCAACTGCAGAATAAATCAACTTCTTACTATATCAATTAACGTCTGAGTAAATTTACCTTAGCATAACTGTATCTTCACTCATAGCAAAAATTAATACTCTCAATATATATATACATAAATATATACTGCTTGAAATGTGAACCCTGGACACAAAGCACATTACATGTCAAATGTATAAATACAAATCCTGATCTCAAGTCAAATTATTTTATTGTTAAATTCACAAATTACCATAGAGTCATTCTGAACAATGAAATACTTCTAACAATGCATACAACATCTGATCTTACATACTAGAAGAATTATTATGCTATGTTGAAAGACTGTCAACTCTTGACTGATACTTTAATGCAATAGGAACTGTTCTAGGTTCCCCATAGTAATAGCAATATAAACATTTGTTCATGGTGAAGTAGGGATTATTTGATTTCCACTTTTTTTGGGCATCAACAGTTATGACTTGATGTCATCTTAACCATATCAGTGGAGGGCGCGGTGATTATCACATGCTTTTTTCTGTGATACATGGTTATCTGTGACTCACTGCAGAAATTATAGTAAGTTATTTTGGGATATAAATTCATGTGAAAGAATGTGTATGTGGATCCATTCTAGAATTAAAAAGAGTATAAGAATTTTGATAAGAAGTATGAAATGAAACAAAATGTACAATGATGGAGCTGGTAATATGCATCTCAGCCTAATTAATATAGTCGTTAACCATGGAAGCAAACCTAACTAGCATAGTAAATATTATTAAGAAATGCTTTTTCATAAATACTGTAATTTTTTATGTTCTGTCTCAATCCTCTCCTATCATCTAAAGATGAGAACTTGCGCCGGTGAGGCAGTAATGGAACCCAGGCGCATAGCACCAGTTTTGATATCTATATTATCACACTTCGCTTTCCTTTTCATTTATCATTGTCAGGCAGCTGACAAAAAGAGCAGGCCAATAATACAAAGAAATGGTAGGCAAACATACAGCCCAGAAAACACAAAACTGGGAGGCTAAAGCGACGACAAGTTTTTTGTTGCATTCGTCCCACAACATAACAAATTCTAACTCCAGCGGCTGAATAAGATTTTTGTCATTTTGATCAGCATAATAATAGAATGTTAGCTGCTACAATTAGATTGTATAATATAACTTAACTACTAATGGGGCCTGAAGGAATTGAACTAACAACGACAAGCAGTAAAATGCACTAGCTAGCAAGGCTCTATGGTGTGATAGTGAGCACTCAGTACATTAAAACCTGTAAGCTGAATTCATTCTATGAGCATTCACCGTGTGGATATCGTAAAATTGTGCTCTCTGAGTTCAAATTTCAGTACGACATAGTAAAAACATAGTCAGTAAAAACAAAGTAAAAACATAGTCAGTTTTTAATTTCTGTTGAAGAAAGCACAAACACATTCAAACTCACTTACAGGGCAACAACATTTTCACAGATTTCTGTTGCTCCCTACTGTTTATTTTACATGATTAACAGGCTACTCCATTTTTTTCTGCCTACTACTGTTTCTTGTGCCACAATTCAATTTTTCTTCCCCCCCAAAAAAAACTTCTATGATGTGATGGTGAACACTCTAGAATCTGGACTAAAATTCCCAAGACTTCCAGGGTTCTATGGTGTAATGGTGAGCACTTCAGACATTGGATCAGTGATCTGAGTTCAAGGCTTGGTAGATCCGAATGGCCATCCTGCTACAAATATAACCGGCCACACAAAAAATAGGCAACTTTTTCAAGCAGTCATTGTGTTAATGTCACTGAATCCTGCTCTCACAGTTTGAATTTTGGTATGACATAATAGGTTTTTGCTTTCTGTTGAAGAAAGCACAAGCGCAATAAAACTCACAGATTCACTAAACTTCCGCAAATTTCCTTTGCTACCTACTTTTTTTCAGACAATTAACAAGGAACACCATTTCTTTCAGCTTACTACAATTTCGTGTGCCTTACCACAATTCGATTTCTCTAAATAACAAACCTATTTGATTTGATGGTGTGCACTCTGGGATCTGGCCTAAAAATTTCTTCCTCGCAGGTTTCTGTGGTTTAATGGTCAGTCTCTGGAGTCGGAATCCAGTGCTCCGAGTTCAAGTCTCGGTAGAACCTAATGGCCCTTCTGCTGCAAAGGAAACCAGTCAGCTTCTGTGAGCAGGCATTGTGTGGATGTCACATAATCAAAGTCTCTGAGCTGCTATTTTGGCAGAACATTGCAGGTTTCTGCTTTCTGTTGAAGAAAGAACAAACGCTTTCGAACTCACTTACAGATCGATGAAACTTTGACGTATTTATCTTGCTTCCAGAATTTTGTATTCCTACAATCAAACACCAGAACACAATTTCTTTCACCTTACTACCATCTATTGTGCCCTACCACAATTCGATTTTTCCAGAATTTTGTATACCTACAATCAAACACCAGAAGACAATTTCTTTCACCTTACTACCATCTATTGTGCCCTACCACAATTCGATTTTTCCTCCCAAATTTAAGTCTATGATTTGATGGTGAACTAAAATTTCTTAACAGGCAGGGTTCTATGGTGTAATGGTCAGCACTCTGGGCTTTGAATCCAGTGATCCGAGTTCAAGTCTCGGTAGAACCTAAAGGCCCTCCTGCAGCACTGGTATCCGTCCCGCCAGATTACCAGTCAGCTCCTGTGAGCAGGCACTATGTGAATGTCACAGAATCCAGCTCTCTGAGCCCCTGTTTCTGCCCAAAGTTCTAGGTTTTTGCTTTCTGTTGAAGAAAGCACACAAACGCTTTCAAACTCACTTACAGATCGACTAAACGTTCCCGTATTTCTGTTCCTCCCTGCTTTTTTTCAAACAATCAACAAAGAACAACATTTCTTTCAGCTTACTACCATTTATTGTGCCCTACCACAATTCAATTACTCTTCCCAAATGAACAAATGACTATGATTTGATGGTGCACCCTCTATAATCTGAACTACAATTGCGTATTAGGCAGGGTTCTATGGTGTAATGATCAGCGCTTTGGGCTTTGAATCCAGTGATCTGAGTTCAAGTCTCGGTAGAACCTAATGGCCCTCCGGCAGCACTGGTAGCCGGCCAGCCAGAGTACTAGTCAGCTCCTGTGAGCAGGCACTTTGTGGATGTCACAGAATCCAGCTGTCTGAGCTACAATTTTGGCATAACATTGTAGGTTTTCGCTTTCTAATGAGGAAAGCACAAACGCTTTCAAACTAATTTACAGATCGACTAAACTTTCACGTATTTCTCTTGCGCACAGCTTTTTTTTTACCTACAATCAACAGAAAACACAATTTCTTTCAGCTTACTACCATCTATTGTGCCCTACCACAATTCGATTTTTCCTCCCAAATTTAACAAACAGCTCTCAGAGCTCATATTTTGGCACAAAGTTGTAGGTTTCTGCCTTCTGCTGTCTTGGCTTCTGTCCATGGCTTCTGTCCATGGCTCTTCTTCTGGCTGCTCCTCTGGCTGCTCCTCTGGCTGCTCCTCTGGCTGCTCCTCTGGCTGCGCCTCTGGCTGCTCCTCTGGCTGCTCCTCTGGCTGCTCCTCTGGCTGCTCCTCTGGCTGCTCCTCTGGCTGCTCCTCTGGCTGCTCCTCTGGCTGCTCCTCTGGCTGCTCCTCTGGTGCCTTTATATACCTGCTGTGATGAGATCCTGATAGCTAGCATCTGTGCAGGTGATGGGCTGGCCCTGTTAGTTGCCTGCGTAATGTTCAAAATCCTGGCAGCTTCTCTTGGGGATGTTGGTGTGAAGCTGACTCATGATAGGGTGCATTTGCCCCAGAAAATGATTATTCTGCTTCAGTGTCTGAAGTTCCTTCTCTTGATGAATAACTGCATAACAGTCTTGCTCTGTTTAAATTAAGTCTTAATTATCATGTTCCTTGTGTGTACAGACAGGAAAAGATTTGTCACTGTCAGAGCTCTCAGACATTTACTCAGTTGGAATCAGTGTGTAATGTATTGTTACTTATCCTTCGTGACTCATTACATCGTTCAATACATTTTGAGCAACCACACAACTCACATTAAGAGTAATTGCATGTGTTCTTGAAGACATTTCACGATTGGTATTTATGTACAAGTGAATGGGTAAGTGTATCCAAACCTTTTGGTACTGTACACATGCTATTACTCTAAATGTGAAGCACTGTCAAATAAGCTACACATCTATTAACCTCTACATTTATGACCAACAGAGAATATCTAAAATGAGATGAAGTGGCATCATTTGCACTTTTGTCTCTTATAAATTTTGAGATAACCGCATAAGATCATATTGCAAAATGTTGGCCAAATTAATAACACTCCAATTTTAATCTCATATTGAGTAGGGTGTCTCATATTGCTGAATTGATGGCAAGTGTGTTGAGCTTACAATGACGACTCTATAAATTATTATTTACAATTATTTATGTAATATTTATATTAGGGTTTCAGCATTTCACTGGTGAAACCCTATTGTGTCCTAAACACTGCTGCTCTTGACCCATAAACATCAGTTGGGGTTTGGTGTTGCACATATATCCATATATATCCAACAGGAATGATAATATTATAATACACCTTAGTACATGTGTTCACAATTATTTATGATTAACCACACTGTGGCATTTTTGAGCTAGTCGTAATTGCAAGTTCAATCTGCTCACCCAGTTTAACATTGAGCTTTTAAACGTGGTAGATAATTAAATGTCCTCACAAGAAAAATATTTTTCAATTGTACACAGTAATTTCTGCCATTTTGAATGAGTGAAAACTCTTGTAACGCTACTGCTATAGTTATAATAATAATACATTATATTTATATAGCACCTTTTTTAGGACCCAAAGTTGCTTTATAAAAAAGAACATGAAACACAAACAATCAAACGAAATACAGTGAGAAAACAACAGAAATAGACAAAATGTGATCTGGCATGTCTAGGGATAGGCCATTCTGAAACGATAAGTCGGGGGTAGTCTCAGATGGTTTTCGCCAGAGAGTTCCAGAACCTGGAATCAGCCCCTGACGATGCCCTATCAACAAATGCTTCAAGCTTGGACTTGTGGATAATTAGGTAGCTCGTAGCACTGTGTGTGTTGGTTGATAAGGAAGAAGATGGTCGGAGAGATAGGCGGTGGCGATGTTGTTTAGGGCTTGGTATGTCAGTAGGAGGATCTGGTAGTTGATGCGTTGGGAAATAGGAAGCCAGTGTAACTCACAAAGGATAGGGGTGACATGCCTGCGGGACTTGGTGTGAGTGAAAAGTCTGGCCGTATAGTTTTAAACTATTCGAAGAGGGATGTAAATTTAATTCCGGTGAGTAGAGAGTTGCAATAGTCAAGACGGGGGGGTTATAAATGCATGTATTAGGGTTTCAGCAGCAAGATGGGAAGGAAAGATCGGAGTTTGGCAATGTTGTGGAGGTGGAATAATAAAGATTTAACAGTCTGTTTACAGTGCTGAGCAAAGGAGAGTGTAGAGTCCATGATGCCGCCAAGTATACCTGCGTGGGGGCATGGAGTAACAACAGTGTCATGTCATTATAAGTTAAGGGATGTAAGGGGAACCAATCAGATTTAACGAGGAGAGGTGAAAGTCTCGGATAGCAGGTGGAAAGAACTGGAGATCAACCTAAACGATTACAGTATGGACAGTGAGTACTCATTTTCTCACCCACCGTTCAAGGCGGCGACAACCTTGCTTTCAGGTACGGTGTGCTGATGTAAACAAGAAGGATGATAAAGTGAAAGAAGCATGTCTAGTTTTTACTGGGGCCAGAGGGTTGAAGGAGACAGACATAGCAGTGTTTAGCTTGTTTGCTTGTTCTTCAGATGATTTGAAGATGAAGTCAATCGGGAGAGCAGAGGAGATGGTGTCTGATAGAGGGTCAACAGATGTGAAGTTACGGAAGGAGAATTGGTGCTTGTCAGTGTTGTGTGGTGTATTTGAAGACAATTTGAAATTCAGTATCCTGTGGTCAGACAGCGGGAACAAAGAGGGATTTATGTGGGTAATTCAAAAGCCGTCGGAGCATACAAGATCAATGTGACCTTTGTTGTGAGTGGAAAAATTAACACGTTGAATACAATTAAAACTGTCCAGGTCAGTGATGAAATCAAAGGTAAGTTTGGAGTTCGGTGAGTCAAGGTGAATATTCATGTCACCAAGCAGGAGAAGGTGCGGGGAGAATGATACAGCAATAGTGAGTAATTCAGCAGCAATTCAGTGAGTAAGTTAGAGAGGAATGAGTCACTAGCTTTTCGGTGGATGATAAACAAGGATGATGGTGGGGGACCATTTGTTGATTTACAGGCTATATATTCATATGTGGTGAAGGATGGGAGAGACTACTAAGTTATTTTAAAGTGGGATTTGTACAGTATAGGAAGGCCACCAGCATGAACAGTTAGACGGGGTGGGACAGGTAGGTATAGCCATTGGAAGTGGCTTGAATTATTATAAAAAGCTTGTCACGAACCAGGGTGGTGTAGTGCAGGTTGAAGCCAATTGCAGAGCTTGAATATTCGTTCCGTGCCATTTATTAAAATAACACAAACACGACAACAAACGGTGGAACAAACTATACACTGTGTGAAACAAAAGTGCGCTTACACAAAGCGACAACTACAAAACTAACACAGCGACAAATCCACATAGACAAACACTCACCTACCAACATAACTGTGTGACATAGAAATAATGAACAGCAACCAGGTGACTTCCTATCAATCCCTTTATAGCCCGACTTAATGAACCAATACAAAACAGCTGTGATGAATCAACCCGAACCAGGAAGTGGTGCACCCGAAACCAGACAGTGCAGTACCCTAACTCACCACTCGTGACAAAGCTGGAGCGGGTGTTTCAGAGAGCAAGGTTAGCAGTGGGGTTTAATATGTAAAAAATTGGTGGGGCAGACACAACCAAGCTCAGAACATATGAGCTCAATACTACTGAAGGCCACAACAATGCACACAGATAACTTTGTTGGGATACCTCATTATGATAACAACCTTAGAAGATAAGCATGGACAGACTTACACTGTTCACTGTCTTTATCAATCAATCTAGCACAACAATATATAGGCTTAATGTTAGTACACACACCTCCACCAAAAAGGCAGG